GTCGCTGAGCTCAGCTTAATAAAATCTTCGGAACTTGAAACTTTAATTTGACATCCAGCCTCTTTATTGATTATCTGGACCCAACATTTATCTCAGACATCAAGTCATCTGAGGGTCCTGAGTAGCTCAGGAGCTCACCTGAGTCATCTCGCCAGGCTCCATTTTGTCTACCATACTGCCATTTTCAGAGGGTTAGTTTCTCATCCTTGGGCTTATGAATGGTTGCCTTCCCTCCAGGAATCGTACAGGCATAATAATATGCAAATGCAGGAACATAAGGTGGGGACAAAGGAAGCATTTTCATATTTCTCTCTCTTTTTAAGTTAGGGGAAAATCTTTCCCAGAATCCCCTGAGCAGATTTTCTCTTAATCTCATTGGCTGAAATGTGTCACATGATCACCCCCTAGACCAATTCCTGGCAAGGAGAAACAGGAGTGCCCTGATTTCCTTAAACCCATCATGAGTCTTCCCCTGAGGCAGTGCATTGTCACCTGAATCGTATCAGGATTCCATTAGCAAGGAAAAAAGAGGAAATAGCTTGGAATAGGCAACCTACAGGCAATACAGCATTCAAGCATTTTCTCATTCATTCATTCAACACATATTTACTGAGTACCTACTACAAGCTAGAAATACAGCAGTGAACAAAACAGGAAAATAATTCTGTGCCTTCTTAGAATTTACACTGACTACATGCCAAGTTCTGGGGATATAGAGGTGATTAATGAGACTCAGTCTCTGTCTTCTTTGGCTCCCATTATGTTCTTCTTGTTTGGAGGGCAAGTCTGCATATCTCAAAGGACATACATTTCCCAAAAGGGTTAGGGGTCTTGGAGTGGTTCCCATGATTGCCTTCATGTTGAACCTCCATCCTCTCTCTTTATTAACAGAGGTAACCAGCAGCTGCTCTTTCCCCAAGAAGCTCTGGCATTACTCTGAACCCACAGAAGCCTGATCACTGCTTTCTAGGTGTTTACTAATATGGGAGGAGTAGGACAAGGACTTGTCCAGTAGGAGCTATTTCCTAGCCCATCCTCTAGTCTCTGATAAATGCCATTCACTGGATGCTTGACACATGCCAACTACCATGCTAAGTGTCTTATTAGCAGTCTTTTATTTAATCCCTACACATCTCTTCAAGGGAATCATTAGCAATCTTTGACAGACTCAGAGATGTGGAGGAACTTGACCAAGGTCAACAGCTAGTCAGTGCATGTTCTTCCTCACTACATAGTAATGCTTCCCACCTTTTGAAGTTGTGGACTGAGGAACAGAGTAGATATGTGGGTAAAAGTGGGTGTTCCACTTTTAAATTTAAACCCATTAAATTTCTATAATGCACTCACTGCCTTAAAAAGGGATGAAAACTGGCCAGCACAATCCATTTATTATTAAAACACTTAATAAAATGGGCATAGAAGGAAAGTACCTCAATATAATAAAAACCATATACAACAAACCCTCAGCTAATATCATACTTAATGGTGAAAAACTAAAAGCTTTTCCTCTAAGATCAGGAATAAGACAAGGATGTCCCTGCTCATCACTGTTATTCAACACAGTATTAGAAGTCCTAGCCAGAGCAATGAGGCAAAAGAAAGAAATAAAAGGCATCCAAATTGGGAATGAAGAAGTCAAATTGTCACTTTTTGCAGACGACATGGTTCTTTATACAGAAAACCCTAAAGACTCCACCAAAAACTATTAGAAACAATAAACAAATACAGTAAAGGTGCAGGATACAAAATCAACATACAAAAATCCATTGCATACCTATATACTAACAATGAAATTTCAGAAAAAGAAACGAAAAAAACAATTCTTTTTGCAATTGCAACAAAAAGAATAAAATACCTAGGAATAAACTTAACAAAGGATTGG